GTCAGGGTGACTGGCGCGTCCAACCGGCCCTCTTGAGAAAAGCAGTGAGCAGCCGAGGGTCATGCTTCAATGGTCGCATGTTAGTGGGTGACTACAGAGGCAATAATGCACGTGCATGCGCCTGTCCGCCGATGCTGTGCAACAGCCCTGAACAACAAAGACTGAACAAGAGCAGGAACCCTGCAACAACTTCCCAGAGACCGGAACAGGCACCCCGCGATGTTGTGTCGATCAGATCAAGGGCAGGATCTGCCACTATGTTTACTGCTGTACAACAGTACAACCTCGCCCTTTTGTTGCCGCTGTAGAAGCGGCTTGCAAGACGGCCGCGAGACTTGAAAAAGTGCGTCCTTCAGTTCAGGCTCTTGAGATGTGCTTCTGATTTGTGATTTCAGTTGCGTCTCCACGGTTTCATTTCATGTAGAACCCGAGTTCCGTTACACGATACGCCAATCGCTGACTCGTACTTCCAACAATCTTAGGGACCCTTTATACTGGGTCCGCTGAAGGTTTCGTCTTAGGGCAGCAAAGCCCGCCCTGTTTTTGACTTGCAACATCATCATCATCCCAAGGAGAGCAGGGAACTCGGTGCCCCTCTCTCTCTCTCTCTCTCTCAGAGTTTGCTTTTAAACCATATCCGCTTTCACGGGTGTATCACAGAAGCACGGGCATGGGCACGTCTAGCAGTGACATGCAGGACATGGCGGAAACCCTTCCGCCTATTAATCTTTCTATTTTGCCCCGCCGCCCCTGTACAAGGTATGCAACGAGTCTAGGCAAGCAGGTAAATGCTAGCAGGAGGTGATTAGTTGTCGTCGAAGAGCAAGTTTACGATCGAGACCCTCAGCCAAGCTCCTGAGATCGGAGAACTGAATTGATCCCGACGGCACGACCCCCGAATCCTTGCGAAGATGCCTCACGCCGTGCCTCGGAGTTTTCAGGCCGGTGCAAACTGGGCTTCCAGCCCGCGAGAAGTAGCATCATCCCCCAAGACCGCACCTAGCAGCAACATGCAGCAACAACTTAAATCCTCTGCCATGCACATGTACTGCAACCACATGCTCCCGAGACTTGCGCATGGACTCCGATGGCTGGCCGTGGTGCGGAGCTTGGATGTCCTGTCGCGGCCTTTGTCACTTGACTTTGCGCCCGACATCGCCCGACGACCATTAATCAAGTCTTTAAATTAGTCATGTGGGAGTAGAGGTCAGCCTGCACTCATATGCAGCATATGCATAAGTCCGTAGCGTTGACACACAGAACGCCCCAGAGGGTCCGATACCTGCTTATGTTGGCCGACGCACCGCCGGGCGCACCGCTTGGTGAGTCCATCTTCTGTTCGTATATAGCAACTATTCGTATAATATAGTATAGGATCTGATCCGTGCGGCGAGGCCTCAGTTTGCAAATACCCCCGACCTTGAATCATACTCAGAGTGGCTCTTCTGCCGCATTTTGATATCAAGGGCTGCCGACTGCACTGATCTTCCCGTTCCAGCCCTGATGGAGTGCTGCCTACCGGGTCGCTTCCGGACGCCACTGGAGCTTCATGCCAAGTCTCTTCAGCGAGCGGGTGGCGTCGACCAGGCACTGAGGGCAAAAAAGAGGAACCCACAAAGCTAAAGCAACCCAATGAAAAAATACACGGGTTTGAAGTTTGAAGCCGCAATCCCGCACCCCAGGCCATTTCGATGCATTTCCCCATGTTCACCATTCCAGTCGAGACACTGCTGAAGATGACGACAATAGAACCGCACGAGGAGCTTCAGGCAGGGCCAAGGCTGTGTGTTGATGGTTTCATGGGCGATTTGGCGGCCACGAACCCTCAGCA